CAATTGTTGCAGCTGTGGCTGCATCTGCTGTTGCTGCTACAGCTGCTGAGCTTGCCTTATCTCAGACTGTTCAACAGGCTGCCGTTATCAACCCATTATCTGAGAGGGTGGCTGGTGCCTTGGACATTCAGCAAACATTGAATGGACAATTACACTTTGGAATTCTGATGCTTAATCAGCAAGCAGCACTGTTACAAGAACAAATAGATATGTTGTGGATACACCAACATATGTTATGTGCTTATGGAATGTCAGAAGTTTGTATAACCCCTCATGCAGCTTTTAATGCATCGGCCGAGGTTGCAGAATTGAATGCTTGTTTGTGAGGGCCTTGGAATGGAACATTTTAAACTGTACAGTTCAGTTAGAACATGCTATTGTAAGGATCAATGAAACTAGAATTGTTCCTGTAAATGAGCAGACCTGATGGTAATTAATGTCTAAAGCTACTGGGTCCTCTCATTAATCTGTGCAGGCAGTATGGGAATTGGATTATTTCTGGTATGCCGATGGCAACGCCAATTCACTCGACACTGACGGGTAACCGAGCAAGCCCTTCTAGCCATGTCATCCTCTGAATGGGGATTGCAACAGGTGACCTAAGACAGGGGCTATCTGATCTTCCACAGGCTGTTCTAGCTGATGTGTTCCTTTTAAAAAATAAAAAGGGAGGACATGTCAGCAGTAAGTTTGCTGCCTTAATTTTAAATACCCTTTTTTTCCTGTCCCACTTAAGTTGTTTGTGTGAAAAATGTGCGGGTGGGTTCCAGAGGGTGCTGGGGATCAGTTCCCCTGTGGTTTTTCCTGTTTGGAAAACAGTGTCAGGCTTGCCTAAGGATACAGAGTAACCATTCCTTGACTCCTGGGGTTAGAAGGGTATATATAAGCCCATGTTGGTAAGAATAAAGAGAGCTGCTTCCCTGACGAACTGAATCTGGGAGTCTAGAGTGCTGTTTAACCTCAGCGTCTCAAGCCAGATTTCGTGCTCCAGCTGTGCAGGTCCCAGCACACAGCTACACACTGAAAGGACACCAGCCCATTTGAGCACGTGGCTCTGGCAGGCCTTGTCTTTCTCCTGATTCCCTCTGTTGGTAGCCCTTGTCCTTCTCACATACCCTGTCTTAGTAAAAATCATTAGATTATATTCCTGAAGCCAGCCCCCAATATCCATTCCCATATTTGTCCATTTCCTCTGCCCTAGGCTGACTATCAAGGTCCAGTTATCAAAGTATTGAAATCCAACAATCAAAAGTCCCCTTTGGCTCACCTAATTAACATTCCTAATTGAAATTGAATACCTCATTCCAAGTCAAGATTTCCCATTTTACCTTCATAAACCACCATTTTGCTATGGGCTACGGCCATCTCCCCTCTATCCAGAGGCATTCCTTTGCCCTCTATGACAAATATCCCTGTCCCCTTCTCTGGTCCCATTCCCC